TGGTATGATAATATGGTAGGATAATTGGATATGATTAGAAATGAGTTTGATTTTAGGGTATGATTATAGGGTATGATAATTGGGTATGATAATAGGGTAGGATAATTGGTATGTTTGTTGTAGATAATGGATATGATTATTAGGGTATGATTATAGGGTTATATATAGGGGGTAGATAATTGGATGATAATGGGGTAGGATAAATAGGGTATGTTAATAGGATATGATTAAGAGGGTATGATATTAGGGTATGATAAGAGGATATGATAATAGATATGATTATGAGGATATGATAATGGTGTGATGTTTGGGGGAGGATGTTGATGTGGTAATGGAGTATTTATGTAAGGAAGATTAGTTGGAGAGGAAAGGGTGGGGGGTGGATATTTTTTGTATGTTGGTATGTGGGAAAGAAAAAATTATAGGGATGTTATGGTTATGTTTATTATGTGGGTTTTGGGGTTATGGTGTGGGTTTGGTTTGTGTTTGTTGTGTGTAATTTATTATTTGTTGTGTGTTGGGGTGAGGTTGTGGGTGGTTTTTGTTTTGGATGGGGATTGGTGTAGAGTGTGTGGGTTATGGGGGTGATTTATGGGTAGATATATAGATAGGGAATGATTATTGGTTGTGGAGAAGGTGATAATGGAAATTTTTGGAGAAAATTGATTTGTGTGGGTTTATTGTTGGATATATTAATTGAAAGAGAATGGGTATTTTTGGATGGTATGTGATGGTGAGTGTGGTGTGTTTGTTGTTGAGGGGTGGTGTTGGTTGTGTTATTATTGGGGTATTGGTTGTGGGGTGTTTGGGTTTGGATGGTTGGTAGTTATGTGTTTGTTTTTGTTGTATTTATATATTTTTGTTGTTGTAAGTGTAATTTTTTAATTTTGGTTGTTTTTGAGAGTTAGAGTATGTTTTTTTGTATTAGGTGTGGGTTAGTGTTTTATTTAGGATGGTATTTTAAGTAGGGATGTTTTGGTGTGTTTGATGTGGGGATGGAGTGTTTATTGGGTTGTTTGTTGTTTTGTTTAGTTTTTTGAAAGTTTAGAGTTAGAGAGTTTAAGTAAGAGGGAGGTTTAGAGTTAAGAGGGAGGTTTTAGAGTTAAGAGGAGGGTTTAGGTTTAATGGAGGTTTAGTTTAAAGGGAGGTGAGAGTTAAAAAGGTTTAGAATTTAATGGAAGGTTTAGATTTAAAGAGGGTTTAGGTTTAGAGATGTGTAGTGTTTTGGGTGTAGAGTTTTGAGTGTTTTTGGTAGTGTGTATTGAAGAGGTTTAGAGTTATAGGAGTGTATAGTTAAGGGAGGTGTAGAGTTGAAGGAGGGTTTAGAGTTATGAGGAGGTTAGAGTTGTAGAGGAGGTTTAGATTATGGAGGGTTTAGATTAAGGAGGTTTAGATGTTAAGTGTTAGTTGGAAGTGTTTAGTGTATATGAGTTTAGTTTGATGTAGGTTGAAGTTGATAGAGGAGTTTAGATTGAGAGAGTTTTTTTTTGAGGTTGTTGTGTTAAGGAGGTTTAGAGTTTAGGAGTAATGTTAAAGTGGTTTAGTATTTAAGGAGGGTTAGAGTTAGAGTAGTTAGAGTTGGTAAGAGGAAGGTGTTTGTGTTATGTGAGGTATTATGTGTAGGTTGTATGTTTTGTGTTTTGTGTTGTTGGGTGTGTTGTGTTAGTAGAGGGGGAGAGTTGTTGTGTTTTGTGTGGTTTGTGTGGTTGGGTTTTGGGTGTTTGTTTTTGGGGTGTGGTTATTAAGTGTTTTGTTGTTTTGGAGGTTTGAGTTGTGGTTTGTTAGTAGTGTTTATGTGTTGTTTATGGAGGTTTAGTTTTATTGTTTTTTTTTTTTGTGGTGGTGTAGAGTTATAGGAGGTTGTGAGTGAAGGAGTTTGTGTTGAGAGGAGTTAGAGTTAAGAGGTTTGAGTTTGATGGAGGGTAGATGTTTAGTGTGGTGTTGAGTTTTGTGTTTGTTTGTATAGTGTTTGTGTGGAGTGGATGTTTTGTGTTTTGGTGGTTTGGTTGTGTTTAGTTTTATAGAGTGTAGAGTGAAGGTGGTGTAGATGTAGATGGTATATGGTTTAGGTAGGTGTATTTTGAGGTTTTTAGTTGAGAGGTGGTTTAAGTTGATGAGATGTTAGTTGTAGGAGTAGATTGGAGAGAGGTTTAGAGTTAAGAGGAGTTTAGATTTGGGTGTTTAGTTTTAGTAGGGGTGTTGGTAAATGGATGTTTTGTTGATGGTGGGTGTGTGGTGTTGTGTTGGGTGTGAGTGTAGAGTTTGTAAGAGAGGGTTTTGTGTTGAAGAGGAGGTTTAGATGGAATGGTGTTTTGGTGTTGTGAGGTGGTTTATGAGTTAAGGGGGTTTATAGTTAGAGGAGGTTTAGAGTTGGAGAGGAGGGTTTAGAGAGTTAAGAGGTTTAGAGTTGGAGAGGTAGGTTTTAGAGTTAAGAGGGTGTTTAAGTTTATATGAGAGGTTTTAGTTAAGAGGTTTTAGAGTTGAAGTGTGTTGTGTTAATTGAGGTTTATGTGGATGAGGAGTTTAGTTGTTTAGAGGTGATATTTTGTTAGGAGGTTTTGATGTGAGGTGGTTTTGAGATGGTAGGTTTTAGAGTGAGAGAGTTTAGAGTTAGGGGAGGTGTGTTTTGTGGTGTGTTTGTTGTATGAGTGTAAGTAGGTGGTTAGTGGTTGAAGGTTTATAGGTGAGAGGAGGTTTAGAGTTAAGGGTGGTTTAAGTTGTAGTGGTGTTTTGTGTTAATGGTTTTGTGGGTTTGGTTTGTGTTAAATTGGGTGTTTAGAGTTTGGAGGGTTTAGATTAAGGAGGTTTAGAGTTTGGAGAGTGGTTTTTGTGATGTGGTGTTGTTGGTAGGGAGGTTAGTGTGATGTGTTTAGTTTTGTTAGTTTGTGTTATGGGAGGTTTAGATTGAAGAAAGGTTTAGGGTTTAGAGAGGTTTAGAGTTAAGGGTAGTAGAGTGGAGAGGAGGTTTTAGTTAAGAGGTTTTAGTTTTTGGATTTTAGTTGTAGTGAGGTTTAGGTAAGGAGGTTGAAGTTGAAGAGTTTTAATTAAGAGAAGGGTTAGGGTAAGGAGGTGAAGGGTTGGTGGTTTGAGTTTAGGAGGAGGTTTAGAGGAGGGGGGAGTGATATGGGGGTTGTGGGAATGGATGGGGGGTTTAGTAGAAGTTAGAGGTTTTGAGTATGGATAGATATGATTTGATATAAGATTTTTTTGGGGGTGGGTGGTGTATTAGTAGTTGGTAATGAAGTAGTTTTTGATGAAGGAGTTAAGATGTTGGAGTATGATATGAAGGATATAAGAGGTTGAGTATAAGAGAAAGTGAGATAATGAAGGTGGTATATAGGATAGGGTGTTATAAGATAAGTGAGTATTAGTTAAGGTGTAGGGATGAATGAGATATTAGATGATAAGATATATATGGATAGTATATGTTGTAGTGTGTGTTGAAGATAAGGATATAAGATAAGTGAGATATAGATGAAATGTGGTGAAGTTGAAAGAGTTTTAAGAGGTTGAGTATTAGTTTAATGAGTTTTTTTGAATGAGATAAGAGAAGGAAGTATAGATGAATGAGGATTAGATGAAGATTAAATGGAAGGGAGTATAAGATGGAAGGATATGAGATAAAGTTTTTGGAAGAGGAAGGAGTAGAAATGGAAGTTTGGTAGTTAAGGATATAAGTTAGGAGTATAAGTTGGTTGGAGTATTGATGTAGGATTAAAGAGGAAGTTTTATGAGGGAGATGTATAAGAGAAGGATTGGAGAGATGGGAATATATGGGGGGATATGTTGGTATTGTGTTTGTGGTTGTTGTGTTTTTGATTGATATTTGTATGATTAATATAGATTTTGGGGGGGTGGGTTGGTTTGGGTGGTTGGGTGGGGTGGTTTTTGAGGTTGGATTGTTTTTGGGGTGTTTGGTTTTTTGTTTGGGTGTTTGGGTGGGTTTGTTGGGGTGGGTGTTGGGGTTGGTGGGTGTGTATATGGGGTAATGGGTTTTTGTAAAGTGTGATTATTGGGGGTTTATGTATTTTTGGGGAGAAGTATGAGTTTTTTAGTTTTTTGTGTTTTTGTTGGGTGGATAGTGTGGTATTGGTTTGGTTGGTAGTGTTGGGATAAGTGTGGTAAAATGGGAGTGAGAGGGTAGGAGTAATGTTTGTGTGGGGTTTTTTTTGTTTATAGTGGGGGTTTATTTGGTTTGTTGGTTTTGTGGTTGGGGAGTATTAATTTTGATATATGGTTGTTTTTTTTTATTTTGATGTTTTATAGTGATTAGTGTTGATTGGGAGTGGATTTTTTTGATTGGTGGGAATGGGTGGAATGTAATGAAGTTAGTTTAGTGGGTGTATTATATGAGGGGGGGAGGTTGATGTATGGAAGTATGTGGTGGTGTTGTATATATATATATATATATATTGATGGGTGATGTAATTGGTTGATGATTGAGTTTAGTAAAGAAGATGTATGGATGTGTAGGGGTTTGGTATGTGGGGGTATGGGATTTTTTTTTTTTAGTGATTGTGTTTTTTGGTAGGGGTGGGGGTTTATGTTATTTAGGGGGATATTATGGTTGTGGTTGGTGTGGTGTTTTTTAGTTGATAGTTTGGGTATATTTAGATTGGGATGGAGGTTATTTATATTAATAAGTATGGAGGTGGATTATGGTTGTTTTGGGGTTTTGTTGGTGTAGTTTAGTTTGGGAGATTATTGTATGTTTGTTTTGGTTGTGGTGTTATTTTGGTTGGGTTGTTGTTTTGTTGGGTTATATGGATGATGTGTTGGGGGGGGGTGGTTGTGTTTGTTTGTGTTGGGGGGTGTGGTTGGGATTATATTGATGTTGTTTTTTTTTGTATTTTGGTTTATTAATTTTAGGGTTTTGTTGATTTTTTGTTGTTTGTGGTGAGGGGTTTTATGTTGGGGTTTATGTGGGTTTTTGTTGTTTGGGTAGGTTTATGGGATTTTTGGTATGTGGGGTGAGTGGTTGTTGGTATTGTGGGTGATGGATGAATGGTGATGTGGTTGGGTGTTGGGGGGGGGGTGATATGTTGTGTTTTTGGGGGGGGTGGGGGGTTGTGGTGTTTGTGGTGGTTGATGGGGTGTTTGGTTTGTGTGGGTTTGGGTTGGGGTTTGGGGTGGGGGTGTTTTGGTTTGGGTGGGGGGTGTGTTTGTGTGGGGGGGGGTGTGTGGGTGGAATTTTTATTTGGGTGATATTGGTTGTTTTTTTGGTGTTGGGGTGGTGTGTGTGGTGGGTGTTAGTAGGTTTGATTGGGTTGGTTTGGTTAGGGGGGTGTTGTTTTTGTTGTTTGATTTTTTTGGTGTGTTGTGTGTATTGGGGTAAGTTGGCTTGGGGTTGTGTTGGTTTGTTTTTGTGGGTAGGGGGGGGTGTGGTGGGGTTTGGGGTTATTGTTGTGGTTGGTTTTTTAAGGTGGTATTTGTATGAGGTGGGTTGGGAGGGTGTTTTTGGTGGGGATATGTTTTGGGGTTGGTTTTTGTGTGTTTGGTGTGTGGTATGGTTGTTTGTGTTTGTTATTGGGTAGTGTTATAGTTGAGGTAATAGTATGATGTTAAGGTGGAGGTGAAGATTGTGGATGGAGATAAAGTGTTGATATTAGTGGGATTTTTTTGGTTGGAGTGGGTTAATGGTTGTTTTGGGGTGTTGGGGTTGGTGTTTGTGTTGGGGTGTAGGTTTTTTTTGGGTTGGTGTATTTGTGGGGGTGGTTGTGTTTTTTGTGGGGTGAGGTTGGGGTTTGTTGGGGTGTGGTGGGTGGTTGGGGTATGTGTTTGGGTGGTTGTTGGGTTGTGTTTTGTTGGTGTTTGGGGGTGGTGGTGGGTGTTGGGTGTGGGTGTTTGGTTGTGGGTTGGTGGGGTGTGTGGGGGGTGTTGTTGGTGTTTGGTGGGTGGTTTGTGTGGGTTGGTGGGGGGGTGGGGGGGTTTTTTTTTTGTGTTTGTGGTGGGTTGGGTTTTGTGTTTTGGGGTTGTGGTTGGTGGTGTGTTTGTGTTGTTGGTTTTTTGTTTTGTTTTTTGGTGGTTTTTTTTAGTTGTAGTTTTTATATTGGATGAATGTGTGATTTTTTTTTTGTTTTTTTTTGTGTGTGTGTTGGGTGGTGGGGGGGGTGTGTGTTGTTGGTGGGGTGGTGTTGTTGTGTTTTTGTTTGGGGAGTTTGGGGTTGTTATGTTTGTTGTTTTTGTGTGAATAGTATAGTGTGGTAAATTTTTTATTTGGTGTATGTTTGTGGTTTTGGGATAGAATAGTATATTGGGTTGGTTGGTGGGGGGGGGGGGGGGGGGGTGGGGGGGGGGGGGGGGGGGGGTTTGTTGGGTGAGGTGGTGTGTTGGGTGGTATTTAGTTGTTTTATATATTTGGGTGGGGTGGGGTGGTTTTGTTGGGGGGGGGTGGTGGTTGATTGGGGGTTAGGTGGTTTGTTTGTGTTTGGGTTTTTGGGATGTTTGGGTGAGTGGTTTTTTTTTTTTTGGTGGTGTAGTTTTATGTAGATTTTTGGGGGGGTTTGTGGGGGGGGGGGGGGGTATGGTTGGGTGGGTGGGGAGTGGGGGTTGGTGAGTTGTGTGTGGTGGATGTGGTAGTGTATGAGTGTTTGTATTTGTGGTTGTATATGGGTTGGTTTGGTGTTGTGGGTGAGGGGTTTTGTGTGTTTTGGAGGGGATTGGATGGTTTTTGGGTGTTTTGTGGTGTTTAGGGGTTGTTTTTAGTTTGGTTTTTATTTGTGTGGTTGGTTAATGTTTGTGTTGATGTGTTTATTGGGTTTGGGTATATGGTGTGTTTGGTGGGTGTTGTTGAGAAGTTTATTTTATGTTGGTGTAGTTTAGGGTAGTTTGGGTGATTTTTTGATTGGATGGTTGATTATGTGGGTGTGTTTTTATTTGTTTATTTAAGTTATGTTTGTGGTTTTATGGGGTGTTGGGTGGTGTGTGGTGGGGGTTTGGGGTGTGGTGGTGTTTGGGTGGTGTTTGGTGGTTGTGGTGGTGGTGGTTTTGTTGTGTGGTGGTGTTGGGTGGTTTTGGGGGTTGGTTATGTGGGTTGGGGGGGGGTGGTGTGGGGGGGGGTGTATTATTGGTTTGTGTGGTTTTGATTGGTAGTGGGGTTGTTGGTGGGGTGTTGTGTGGTGGGGGGGGTGTGTGGGATTTTTGGGTTTGTATTTTTTGGGGATGGGTGGTGTGTGGTGGTGGTGGGTTTGGTGTTTGGGATGGTGGGTTTATGATGGGTAGAAGTTATGGTTTATCGTTGGTATTTTATTTGATAGTGTATTGATATAGTAGGTTATTTATTTTTTTTTTTTTTATGTGTTTTTATTTTGATTGGGGGTGGGTATTTTTTTGGGTGTTGGGTTGGGTGTTTTGGGGTTTTTTGAATTTGGGGGGTGTGTGGAGTGTGTAAGAAAATGGGGTATGTTGAGTAATATGAATTTTTGTTTTGGTGTTTTGAGTTTTTAAGGTTATGGATATATTTATGATTAAGTTAGTGTTAAGGGTAATGATAGGAGATATGGTTTTATGTTTGTTAGAGATGATGATATTATTGTATGTAAAGTAGTATTAATTTTGAATATATAAAAAGAAGTTGGAAAGTTTAATGAAAGAGAAGATGTGAATTTTATAAAGGAAAATTGATATATTAATAAGGGAAAGATTGAAATATTGGAATGAAAGGGTAAATTGAAATATTAATGAAAGGAGAAATTGAAATATTAATGAAGGAAAGATTTAAATATTATGAAAGAGAAGTGTAAATGTAATGAAAGAGAATATTGAAAATAATGGAATGGAGAAGATTGGAAATATTAATGAAAATGAGATTGAAATATATAAGAAAGAGATGTTGTAATTTAGGGTGAATAATGGGTTGGTAAAATAAGATGGAAGGTGGGATAAGGGTGGGATAAGGTAGGTTAAGAGGAAAGAGAAAGTGATAATAGGTTTGGAGAGTTTGGAGGGGGTAGATGTAGAGGGTAATTAGAAATTGGGTTGATGAGAGTGTAATGGATGGGGTGGGGGGATAGAAAGAATTGGAAAGAGGTTGGAGGGGTTTAGAGGGAGATAGATTGTTTAAGTTTAATTAGAGGGGGGAGGGATGAGATGAAGTATTTTAGATGGATGGAGTGATTTTTTTATTTTTGAATGGGGGAGATAGGTGTGGGTATATGATTGAGGAAGTTGAAAGTATATATAGTTGTTTATTTTTGAGTTGATTGATGAGTGAGTAAGTTAAGGGGAGGGAGAAGAGAAAGATGAATTAGTAAAATAAAGTTGGGAAAAAAAATAAAGGATAATAAAGAATAATAAAGATAAATAAGGAGAATAAGAGGGGAAAATTAAAAGATTTGGGTAGGAAATTTTTAAATAGTATTAATAATATTTATGGTGTAATGAGGAAAAAAGGATTATTTAAGAAAAGAATTTATTGAATTATTAAAAAATGATAATATAGAGTAGTTGGGGAATAGAGTAATTGTTTTGAAATTTGGTGAGTATATATTAGATATGGTTTTAGATTATTGTGATTAGAATTTTTAGTTTGATTGGAAATTGTGTTTGAAAGATTATGAAAATGTGTGGAGTAGTTTGTTATGATTATGGTGAGAGTGGGATATTATGTTTGTAAAGATTTAGAGGTGGAGGTTATGGGGGAGGGGGGGGGGTGTGTGTTGGGGGTTGTTGTGAGTTAGGTTGTTGGTTGTAGGGTTTTTTTGTTGGTGGTTTTGTGTTGTATATGTTAGTAATTATGTTTAAATTATTGGTTGTTGTAGTGGTGTTGTTTGTTGGTGTGATTGTTGGTGGTGTGATTGGGATGGATTTTTGTGTGGGATTGTGTGGGTAGTTATAGTTGAATTAGGGGGGTGTATTTTGGTTTTTTTAGTATATAATAGGGGTGTGAGTTTGGGGGGATTTTGGTGGTTTTTTGGGTGTATTGTGGTTGGGGTTTATGAGTTGATTGGAGTTGGTGGTGTTTGGGGATGAGTTGGGGGGTGTATTTGTTGTTGATTTTTGTTTGTGGTTTGTTTGTGGTGTTTGTTTGGTTATTATGGTGTTGGGGGGGGGTGGAGTTGTGTGAGTAGTATTTGTATGTAGGTGGGGGTTTGAATTGTTTGGGGTTTTTGGTGTTTTTTAGGTGTGTTTAGTATGGTTAAATTTAGTGGAGGTTAATGTAGATAGGGATTTGTGGGTTAAAGTATAGGGGGATGTATAGGTTGAATTAGTAGTGTAAATAATAGGTGTAATTATAGGTTTAAGTGGAGTTATATGGTTAATTAGAAGTGTGAATTAGTTGGGTTGAGAATTAGATAGTTAATTAATAGGGGGGATGTGGTAGGTGAAGTATTAGGTTAAATTAGATAGGTTTAATTATGTATTTTGGTGTAATTATGTAGGTATTTTGATGGGTTGGTGAAGTGGGGAGTGTAGAAATAGTTGTTGTGTTAGTTTTGATATTTTTGTGTGGGGTTAATTAATAATGTTTTTTGAGGGAGTGGAGGGGTATGTTAATTTTGTGGGTATTGTGGGATTTTGGTAGTGTAAGTATGTTGCGTGGATTAAAGATAATGATGAGTAGTTGTGTTAGTTTATTTGGGAAGTATGATATATATATAATATAAGAAATATTTATTGGGATGTATGTGGGTTTTGGGGGGGTGTGGTTTGATTTATATTTTAGTGAGTTGGGAGTATTATGATGTTTGATTTTAATTTTTTTTGGATGGGGTAATGTTATTGAGTGTTGTTGTTGTTGTTGTTGTTGTTTGTGGGTGGGTGTTGTTGTTTGTTTGTTGGTGGTGGTGGTTGTTGGTTTGTGTTGTTGTTTGGTTGTGGTTTTGTTTGTTTTGGTTTGTTGTGGTTGTTGTTGTTTGTTTTTGTGTGTTGTTGTGTTGTGTGTTTTGTGTTGTTGGTGTGGTTTTGTTTGGGTTGTTGTTTTGTTGTTTGTTGTGTTTGTGTTTGTGTTGTTTTTTGTTTTTTGTGTTGTTGTGTTTTGTGTTGTTGGTGTTGTTGTTGTGTTTTTTGTTTTTTTTTGTTTGTGGTTGTTGTTGTGTGGGTTGTTGTTTGTTTGGATAGGTATTTTTTGGGTTGTTTTGTGATGGATGGTGTATGGGGTTGTTGGGGTGGGTGTTAAGGGTTGTAATTTGATAATTGTTAGGTTATTTGGTTTTTTGTGTAGTGTTTGTGTTGTTGTTTTTTATGAAAAGATAAATATTTTTATGATTGTTATTTTGTTTAGGGGGTTTTGTTTAGATTGGGATTATATGTGGGAATTGGTATGTTTTTTTGTGTGTGTTTTGGGTATGTTTTTGGGTTTGTGTGGGGGTTGGGGTGGGGGTTTTAATAGTGAGAGATATTGGAGATGGAATAGTAAGTGATGTTTGTTTGGGTTTTGTGTGTTTTTGGAGTATTGGGGGGTGGGTTGGATGTTTTTGTGGTAGTATGTATGGGGGGTGTGGTTGTTGGTTGTTTATTGATTGGATAATGTTTAGAAAAGAGAAATTGTTTTATAAGTGGTGATGAGTTTGTTTGATTATATTTGGGTGGTTTT